AGTCCTGATACCCACTTGCTTATGCAATGGGGTAAATAAAGTTTAAATTCATTTGGTATTGTTTGTTTGAATCTTCCCATTGATAGGATGAAACGCGCGTCTTGGACTCCACTGCTAGCCACCACCCATCTTTGTTTTTAATACTTGTGACTGGAGGTAACATCAAGGCAATCCATACAGGATGCATATTTGCCAATACGAGACTGACCAATTAAAGTCCTAAACATCAATGGGAAGATTCAAACAAACAATACGAAATGAATTTATACTTTATTTGCATTTAGCATAAAACAAATGAAGCAAAAGAGTTGACTGTTAAAGTAAAATCATATGAATTCACTATATTCCATGGAGTCTTAACATCCAATTATGATCTTAATTGAATTAACAAAATATACTAATCGGATTGAAAAATAAAATAATTTCTCGTAATCAAAACTGATAACTGTGATAAAGGGTATCAATGAAATTGTCTACATAAATGCTTATTCAAAGAATGCTATAGAAAAAGTGATTAAGCAAAAGATTAAGCAAAAATTATCTACAATCTTAAAATTGAGAGCAGTTAAAGAAAAATTTTTATCGATTTTAAAAAAGTGTATAAAATAAAATTACTATGATGAAAAGAGCACTCTTGATAAATGAATGAAATAGCACATAACTAAGGTGAACATAATTCAAATTGTATTGATTCTTTGAAGCTTTCCATTGACGTCTGGAACTACAACTGCTCAGTTTCTCATAGATATCTGTGCATCCTGTAAGTCATAAGCATTATAAACAGAGATTTATAGTGGATAGCAGTGGAATTCGATACCTGCGTTTCCTCCCATTTAGGACTTGTCAACTGGATGTATCTGAATACAAGTTGTTGTTCACTCCAGGACCCCAACCCAGTAACGTTTACTTAAAGCTCCATCGCACTATCCACTTAGCCACTGAGTCCAGATCGCTATAAGCTTTTGCAATTGGGTGAAGTTAAATTCATCCTTTGCTTATTGTTTGAATCTTCCTAATGATGTTTAGGTCTGCAATTGATCAGTCTCCTATTCGTATATGTACGTATAAATAAATAGTTGTTAAAGTGGATTATCAAAAGTTCGATTTACTATACTATGTACTGGCTTGGCATTGAAATAATTTCTTACCTTTAGTTCAGCAATCACCTTGATAACCGTCATCACATAAATACCATCGGTATATGAGTTTAAACAGCAGTAAGAAGCGCCAACTACAGTTTATTACTGGACAGAACAAGTTACAAAGTTACAAGTATATCGAGTGAATCGGCGAAGAGAAGCTAATGTGTGTGTAAGAGCAAAAATATAGAGGCGGATTTATAGTCAGATGGAATCAAGGTACAGCTAGGCAAGGCAAAGGCAATTAATAGGATTCGAGCACATATACTTATGGGAAAGAGAATGATTCATCGAGCTATATTTAAGCGATTAATATTTAAAGCAAAGTGAGGAATATGTGCGTAGGTGTCACATGTGATCCAGTATGCACGTTTACACAGACATGACAGTGATCATAATAATACAAAGAAGTAGATAAATTGTTATAGTCCCATAACACTGTCTATTCAATAAGTTAATAAAAGGGCTCGACAAAATTAGTCGTAATCAGAATCAATTGTAAGGGAATTGCTATAACCACAAGTAAATTGATACCCGTTTCTTTTGAAATGGAGATGTTTTACTTTGGATATTTTGAGACTACCTACTTTAATGAAATTTAGTCACTTACGCCTGTTACCCCTCTTGGAAGAGCATAGATTGCCTACCAGCATACTTCATCTAACTCTGTCCTAGACAATCCTTTCCTGTTGCTTTCAGTTGCTATACCTCCTCTTCATGTAAGCTTTCAATTCTTGGCGCAGTGTGTTATTTAATTGTTTCTAGCTCTAGATAAAAGCGAATAATAATAATCTAATTATTTATCAATTCACACAATTATTTATTATACCGATTCCTAACATCTTATCACATTTATAAAGAGGTAATAAACAAGTAACTTCAAGCGGAGTTTCAGATTGCCTGTAACATAATTATGAATGTCAGAATTTACTGGTAATTCAAAACATGTTTACATTCGATAAAATCGTTATATATATATGACTAAATGTCTAGTTAAAATCTGACAAAATAAACAAATTTCAGCTACTTTATTAAATGAGTTTTTACGGTTTACTTGTAGTTTAGTTTTAAGGATATGATAATTTAAATATCAATATAGGGTTATGGAGATCATGAGCCGATCAATGTTAGACCACCATCGAAAACCTGGAAGCATTGTACAGCTGTTTCATCCCAGTATGGGACTCATCAGCAGTGTGCGTTCACGAACCCGCCTCGCGAGATTCGAACCCAGGACCTTCGGTCTCGCGCTCGCGCTCGCGAACGCTCGACCCCTAGACCACTGAGTCTGCACTCAACGGTGTTAATGTTTAACTTCCATCGATCCATGAATACCTGTCTACCTAAGACAATGGATGAATGGTTACGCAGCCATTCATGGGTCGATGTAAGTCAAACATTAACACCGTTGTGTGCAGGCTCAGTCATCTAGTGGTTAAGCGTTCGCGTGCAAGACCGAAGGTCCTGGGTTCAAATACTGAGTGCACGATCGTGGGCACGCAATGCCGAGGAGTCTCATACTAGAATGAAACGGCCATACGGTGCTTCCAGGTTTTTAATGGTGGTTTAATATCAATCAATTCATGATCTCAATGAAAAACGAATTATTTACCTATTTAGGAATTTCAGCACACATTTATTTAGAATGAATATAGCTCGTTTTAAGGTCTTTAAGTTCAATTGAAAAGATAAAACTTACTTACGCCTGTTAATTCCAATGAAGCATAGGCCGCCAATCAGCATTCTCCAACCCACTCTGTCCTGGGTCTTCCTTTCTAGTTCTATCCAATTTTTGTTCATTCTTCTCATTTCTGTTCCCATTTCTCAGCGTAATGTGTTCTTTGGTCTTCTTCTTTTCCTTTGGCCTTCAGGATTCCATGTGAGGGCTTGTCTTGTGACGCAGTTGGAAGATTTCCTCAATGCGTGTCCTATCCGCTTCCAGCGCTTCTTCCTGATTTCATCCTCCGCTGAAATCTGGTTTGTTCTCTCCCACAGTAGAATGTTGCTGATAGTCTCTGGCCAACGGATTCGAAATATTTTGCGTAGACAACTGTTAATAAACACCTGTATCTTCTGGATGATGGTTTTCGTAGTTCTCCAGGTTTTTGCCCCATACATAGAACTGTCTTGAAATTTGTATTGAAAAAAGATCAAACAATAATCATTAATTTTTTATTGAACTGATGAACTCAATATTAGAATTTTTGAAAAACATGTAATTTCGAAATTGTCTAAAAGCAGTGAACAACTACTTTATTCCTTTTCAAGATCAATACTCAATAATAAACACTAACCACTTCATACTAGAACTGAACCTAGGAACTTAAGTTCTTACAATGAGCACAATACATCTAGATCATTTTCTTAGATTACAAAGATCAATTTTAATTGATTTGTGAAAATTCTTAGTTCAGTGTGCACTCATATTTTTACTTCACTTTTTGTTTATAGATTTTTTATCAGGTATCATTCATTTTGAGATGATGTTCATTTAATTACACTCTCAAAACAATGTTTATTTTTAATTATTATTATTGTTTGTTTAACCGCATACACAATCTTAGTGACAGGAAAACACCTTAACTTCGAGTATTTGATACATAGGCTTTGTTGATAAGTACCAACTAGCAAGATAACAAGATCTACAGTTTACTGCCTAATGTTTTCAAGTATTTAACACCAAGATGCATTGCGTTAGTCACTTAGCTACTTTCGTGCTCGATTGATCGACATTTAGAACTAGGAAACTAAATCATACACTACTCAATGACTGATAAGTGGGAACTAAAGGTATGATGAACAAGATTTTAAATATAATATGTTGTATTCACAATTTGAGCAAACAATAAATCCAATGTCTACTATTAATATCATCTATTCAGATCTGTAGGGTTCTATCTATCAAAAGAATGACCATTTAACTAACAAAGGTGTAACATTACAAGGAATCTATTTTGTCATTTTGTTTTGGTCGAACACCTTTGAATCACGTTATAACCTTGAGAATAAAGACGAAATGGCCTTCAAGTGGTTATTCCAACCAATCAAAATATTAATTTTAGTTTAGAAAATGGATCATTTAGAAATCATTCATTTTTGTTGATATATAACAGTATCATTATCTATTCATGTGTATAAATATACACAACAAATTTTATATCTGATTATCATGTATTCATGTTGATGAAAATCAGCCCGTAATTTCTGACTACTTTTATATAATTAACGAATCAAAAATGAAACTTATAAAATAATATTTCTCTAATCATATCAACATCATACTATTTTTATCACGCACCCATCCACATTCATCCTCTTTCATGAAATCACATGGTAGAGAAGTTCTTTGTTACATCATGACAATCATCATTTTGGATAGACAACATGAAAGTACAAACAACATGATAGGGTGAGTTAGATAAAGAGTAAGAATTGGTCAATTTAATCAATCAATGGACGAATGAAAAAATCTAGCGAATAAATATACATCATTGAATGAAAATATACATAGGGGTGTTTAAGGTTATATTGTTAATAAATTAATTTATATCGTATCAGCATTTATTTTATCCATTAACCAATTGTATATATTCTAATTTATTCAAATCTAGAAAGAAATCAACAGGGTAACACAAATAGGTACACTATAGATAGACAATTTGACACTATTTAATAATTTTCGAATTTTATTGGCAATGATATCAATAATAATATTACTAATAGTAGTATTGATAGTAGTAATAGTGTTAGTATTAACAACGATAAACAAAATATAACTGACTCATACAATTATGTATATCCACAATATGAGTACAAATCGAGAATGGACATACATAAAGTATTTCGTTAGTCACCTATACTACTTATTTGTTGTTATGTATATCTTACATGAAGAAAAAAACGTCTTTGTGTAAAACTGATTTGGTTTCCATTTTAAAAAAATATTCGAAAGATTAAAATAGTTACATTCGTTTTTGAAATAGTAAGAATGAATCATTCTTGTTTGTGAATGGATAAGAACTTTTTTTTCTCTCGAATAGACTTTTGAATACACAACAACAACAGCAACAACGACGTTGAAACAAACCGGCTATCAATTACAAAGGGATAATTATTGATTTAAACTTTTACTAAACAATCATTCTAACCATTTACTCTAAAAAGTAAGTTTTATTCTTTGAATGTATTACTTAGTACATTTTATGTAAATTTTTATCTGACTAACTAATAATATGGTTCTCCTAATATTTTACACATTCAGATAATCAATTCACACTTTTCATGAACAGTGATTATTTGATTCTAGGGAGAGATAATTTTGTGAATTATCTTAAGTAAACTTTGGTAGAAAACTATAGACTTACGTTTTTTGGTAGTTGGGTGAGACTATAATTTATGGACGACCTTTGAGTGACGCTAGAGTGACCTTGAGAGTGTCCACATAATAACTAGGACCAAATGAGGGTTATAAACCTATGTGACGAGTTCGAATTATGATTTATAGTTTATGGTTAAGGTTAGGAATTATACTTAGGGTTTTCATCACGAATTGGCATCAGCTATAATGTCAAAACACTGTTTGTCCAATTGGATGAGTAAATTTCGCATCGAAATCCGAGACCTATCATCTTATACCTGATTGGTTCGTCCATAAATTATAGTCTCGCCGATGCTAGTCTCTGTCCAAATAATTCGGTGGTAACATCTGAGACTGTAAAGCTGAGTGACTTGGATTCGAGTACAACAGGGAGCATTAGTCTTCTTAATATTACAGTTACATCTGGTTGGCAAGTGTCAACTAACACTGAAGCCTAGGTCAAAAAGCGTTTTCTCCCTACTACTTTCAATCATCTAATAAAGTCGGAATTATTGGTTAATCTACCAAATCCGTGAAATTGAACTTACTATTTAAATACAAAACATTAGACCATAATAATGTGACTGAAGTTATTTATCAGTAAACAAATGTTAAAGACATATTTTTAAAGGAAATATGTTTAAGTTTCCACACAATACTAGGAACTTTGTCTCATTGTTTAAAATAGATCGTTTTAAAACATTCACACAGTAATTCCATATTTCTAATTAATCACAAAATTATAAATAAATAGGCAAAACCCTTATTTTCAGAAGGGGGTTTTGTGGAGATTTTAGTAATTTTATATAGTTGAAATCATGAATCAATTGAAGCTAGACCACCGTGGAAAACCTGGAAGCTGAAGACTGATAGGTCCTGGGTTCGAACCTCACGAGGCGGGATCGTGGATGTGCTCTACTGAGGAGTCCCACAATAGGAAGAACAACCGTCCAGTGATTCCAGGTTTTCCATAGTGGTCTAGCTTCATGATTTCAACTATATAAAATCCTTATTTGTTCGGTTATGATTACAAAATTCATTCAACTGATAATATTCGGTCATTATGATTATTCAAGTGATGACTTAATATAATACATTAAATATTAGAATCAGGTAATTGAAATGACATTTTGTTTTGGGAACCAGGCTTTTATATCTTGACTGAACATTTTTAAAAAGATGGAATATACTGTCCTTCTGACTGACACTTAGGTACAAAATACTCAATTAAGATAATTTATTCCGACAATTCACCTAAAACAAGTGGATGTAAATAAACAACTTCTGATAACCAGAAAGCATTGGACATCTGTTTCGTCCCAGCGTGAGCGGACTTTCAGGTTTCATAGTGTGCTCTTGACACTTAGACCAATAGTTTATATCAACTTTCTTTTAGAAAAATAATTTATCCCATGACTTTTAAAATATTTATCGAATTTAGGGATGGAAACTTTCATTGGCAGTGTAAATTATTTAAATAAAATAATTCAGTTTAAAGTCTAAATATTTTTAAAAAATCACTTTAAGAGTTCACAAGTATATATTCACTGATCATTATTTGTAAACGTTTGAATTATACCGTTGATGATATTTATGGCTCGTTTAGAAAAATCCCTATCACTTCACAGTCTCTCTGAACAAAACTTTAACATTAGAAAGAATATCAATATTAGGTTTACGTTTCAGTGTGAATATCAATAGTACATCCAGCTGAGGAGTTCCAGATAAAACGAAACACGATTTTTAGATTCATCATCTAGAATATGAACATTTATAAATTAAGTTTATAATGAGGATTAAAAAAAACAGTTTCTATAAGTTCAATAAAAAATGTTAGCTTTCATGCCAAATAATTTACCATAATAAGCATTTTTGTCAGATATTTCCTTGTCAAAATATATTTCCTTGTCAGACACTCCTTGTCTCCATCATTGTGAAATTTCCTTCGCTAAAATCTACTTAATTAATGTTTAAACACTGCCCTATCCTTAAAGTGATATTTATGTATATTATATCCATAACTTCTTCGGATCTTGTTGAGGGGGTGGGAGGGCTCATAGCCTTTATAATACTAAGTGGATTCATAATATGGAAATAAGTTTCTTTACGAATTTCTGTTTTGACTTTTGTAATGGGGATTATTTAGTTGGATCTTATTGAGGCATTGCAGACTATGGTGATAATTTTCCACCTAGCCTTAGTTTACAATAGAGATTATCATAAAATTAGTGATATGAAAGCTTTCAGTAAAGTATCCTCCCATTTTTTAAAGGATAAAGTTTTTTCTAACATTTTAATCTCTACATCTTTTGCATATCACTAAATCTTTAATGCAAAAATATGTAGTTAGAGACCTTTTTTGAGTTTGTCTAAGCAAATACATTCAATGTCACTAAATAGTTACACAATTAAAAGACGTAGGTAATTGGATTCCAACTCAGAATATTGATAGTATTTCGTTAGATCTAAATGTGCTTTGTAATGGTGCGTAAAGCGAGATGAATTAGCTTTCTAGTGTTTACTGATTTTCAGTGTTTCGTTAACTGGTGTGAGTTTTTTTTACAATGATTATGTTCAAATAAGTTAGATCATGTAGTTGAGTTCACTTTGGATATCTGAGATCACTATACACATTAATATAAACTAAGTAGCAGAAAGGCAAATAAATTGTTATTTTGTACTGCAACAACTGATTTTCAAAACACTGAGATAACTTAGGTGTAATTGAATTGATAATTCTTAAGAGTAAATTCAGTATCAGATGATAATCAGCTATCTCATTCTAAAATTTATGAAATAAACTTCTGTTTCCAATTCGATAACTCCTCTGAGGGATGAATTGATGATAATACACATGAATCATGTGGTCTATGTGGCATGTAAAATATTTTCTAAGCATTTGAAACTCAGTAAAGCAAATCAGGTGACCTCTAATTTTACTTCAGTAACTCAGCAACAAAATGAGACACCAAGTTGATGCTACACTAAGTAGAATGACAAGCCATGTGTACACATATATGGCTTCATAACGTTTGAAACTGTTTTCGATATAGTGATATACCATTTTACATCTGTTAAGCCCAGTGTGGTATACTGTAAGTATTCAAACAACCAATCGTATTCCCAATCTCACTGAGATGGTTGTCCTTATGTTGTTGCTTTATTAAATCAATATAACTATCAATGGGATGTGCTATTTACGTATACTTTTTCCTGTGATTAAAAATGTTTTATTGGGTGATAATCGTTTGTTTTTTTTAAAAAATTTCAAACAGATATTAAATAAATGTGTATTTAAACAAAAAATCCATTAACATACTTCAGTATTTAACTTCTGCTCAGTTAAATATCTCTCTTCAATATTTTATTATTTTCCACTTTGGAACAATATTTGTTTATGACAAACATTATGATGTACAGTCGTCTTGAGAACGAGAATCAATCTTTGTGTAATTCATTATCATCGTCATCAACATCATCTTTGACATCTCCGACAGTAATCCTACACCATCACCACCATCCAAATCATCACAGTCATCAACATCAGCAGCAGCAACAACAACAAACACAAATTGCACATCCACAACATCTTAAGACTTATCAACATAATTCGCATCGTTTTGATCATCATCATCATCATCACCATAACCATCAACAACGAGAAGAATTGTGTCATTCGGATTCTGCACCATTTTATTACGATAGTCCCATGTTATCATGGAATCAAACAAATTCACCGTCCCAATCATTACCTTCTAATTCATTGATGTTTCTTACAGCAAATAAAAATTTTCATTTACAATCCGAACAAAACCTAATTGGATCTAATCCAAGTTTGGATGTATCAAGTCAACATCATTCATGTCTAAATCATCATCATCATCATCCTCATCAACAACATCAAGAGCAGAGTCAATTTACAAAGAGTGTTCAATCGCAAAGTCACTATCATCATCATCATCATTGTAATTTTCAGATAACCCATAATCACCATTCTTTAAATCAATTAACAAATATGTCAAATCGAAGTACAAATAACTCATCGTCATTATTACCATTACCGGAAGTAGCAATAAGATCTGGAGTAGAGACATTATCGACAATGGCCAATCAGGTTCCAGCGTATCACTTAAACAATACTTGTTTTCCAGTTGAAAAAATTGAGAATATGTTTCAACGTGATAATAATTTATCATTGAACAATATTACTACGAGAAATGACTATATGAATTTCAACTTACCAATAACTACTACTCAATCATTCATGGCATCATCACCATCATTGTCCATATCTTCATCACCGACATTTCCCCTATTGACCACACAATCACACGGTACGAAGAATAAATGTATTTATAAAAATTTAAATAATCGTAATGTACAAAAATCAGTAAATAATTTAAAATTATTCAATGTAAATGATCAATCAAGTCTTAAGACATTTAATGTTAATGACCCTCCATCAAATTTATCAGTTATGAATACAACGAAGGCAACTGTTATGGGCATTACGTCGATATCAAATAATAAAGGGATATTATGTGGATTAAATATGAAAGATAGAAAGCCATGTGATATATGTGGTGATGTAGCTGCCGGTTTTCATTGTAATGCATATGTCTGTGAAGCATGTAAGGTATGTGCAAAAATAAATTTTCTTTTTAAATGTTAAAATTGATAATTATAAGATTCATGAGGCATAGTTTATAAAAAATGCGTAAAATAGACCATAAATATAAAGGAGGAAATGAATCAACAAACTGATTAGAAATGGTATTACTTGTAGTTTGGTTTTTCAAGCAGGTAAATGAAGGTCATTGTAAATAAGAATAGAACGAATGAATGAATTCAGTGAATTTAAACGTAATATATTCATTTGTAATAATTAATGGGGGGGTAAGATTACATGTGATTTGAGGATTGAAAGATTGAATGGCTGAACAAATCTTAAAGTGGGACTTAAAAGAAAATACAGAAATTTAGATGAGGAAACTATGAGTGTTGTGAGAAAGGAAATACACGCAGTTCTAAATTTATATTTCACACCGCCAACTTTCCTGAAATGCAAAAGAGATATATTCGGTCGACTCTGTAGTTGTTTTTTTGACCTTTGATCTCTTAAGTCTTATGACTTAGGGTCAGTTTGATGACTGAGTTTTTCCAACTTTTGTCCACGATTATAAAACATTCTTCATGAATTTCCATAATAAGTGGTGAGAATAACCACCCTTTTTAATGTTTAATAAAAGTGCATTTTGGAGAAATTCGCTGTTCATTTAGTATTTTAGTGCTGCATATAAGAATGCCATTTTCACTAGGGACTTCAATCAGCTGAAGCTATCGACATAGATCTATGAATATGGTACTGTAGCATATCTCAAATTGCTGAATGAAAAAAGCAAAAAGGAGTAAGAGTTAGAGCTTGGAATGAAATCTTCTGTGAAAATTATACTGTTATACTCAGCAATCGCTCAGTAAATGAGTGGGAAAGCGGTAGATATTGCAGTCGTACTGACAACTGAAAAGCATATGTTTCAAAAATTCACGGACGCATCCTATCCCGTTATTAAACACATGAATACTAGCCTATAAGTTTAGTTTATCAAAATAATGATAGAATTTTCTGGCAATATTCAGCACAGACTGATATCAGTTTGGGTCCTATAGAAAAAAGTAAGGATTGAACAACAGTTTTGATCCATAATGTAACCTCTCAACAGTACCTACCCAAAACACTACCAAGGGACTTAATCCAAATATTCCTATGTTTCGAAGTGAGCGTTTAGCCTTTGAAATACACGTAAATTCCCATAAACCTACTTATTCTAGAAATACTGTTGCTTCGTTGTTTTAACTTATTTGATGAAATCTAGTTTGGATATCTGTCATTATGACTAACATGTATTCTCCCATCAATGAGTGACTTCAGTAGATTGATTCATTATTTAAAGTTATTCAAGTTTTGACTGAACATTAAGTTCTTGGTATAAATAAATAAACCTTGAATAGTAACAATTAAAGGAAATAATAAATTATTACGTATAGAGGAAAAAGTTTCGAAATTATTTTGAACTTTATGCTTCGCTCAAGTCGAATTCTAGATCTAATTCACATGTCACACTTAAACACAAATGGGCCTTGATCCTTATATGGAATAAAGATGCACATTCTCGGAAAAACAATCATGAAATTGTGAATTCAGAAGAACTGGTTCAATTTCCCCTTCTCTGCATATCTTTAGTGACTATACTTGAACAAATGTGACGCGCATTGTTCGATACTTGATACTGACACAGTCTGGCCATAAATGAGCCCGATCGGCTACTCGAATGAAAAAGGAAGTTTATTAATTTAACCAAATCGAAACGTATATATATATATATATATATATATATATATATATATATAGTGTAGCATGACAATAATTGTTAGGTGGTTGAAAGTGATCAATAGCGAACTCTGAAACTAGGTTTCTTAGCAAGTGGAAGTTATCAGGGCGTACCTACAGTCTTGATAGAAATTGTCGTCTCTGTGAGATTCGAATCTGTATCGCTCAGCTTGACAGCCTGAGACGCTAGTAACAGTTACTACCTAGCATTACAACACAGTGCACTCAATGTCCATTCAGTTAGACCAATGATCACACAGCAACTTGGTCGCTGGAATAAGATCAGCACTAAAGGTATAGGCAAACATTACATTGGTCACCACTCAGTGATCACTTTGTTGTAAGTGACAATAACTGTTCATTAAAATCCATCTGGTATAAGTTCACTGAAAATTCCTGCTATTAACATACTGAACATATTGAAATTAGATTATGACCGTATCAGTTACAACTTCCAACTAGACATTATTAGTGCGTGGGTTGTGCAAATTGTTGGATATTATCAAAACTAAGATTCTTGTGTCTATCTCGCGAGACTTATGCATCCTTACCTGCCAACGGCGCTTCAATACTTAAATTTGATATTATCTGAATTGATCCAAAATGTCATCTAACGGTATAATAGCATAATCAGGACCAAGCAACCGGTTTTACCAACTGGGGGCGATTTTTTACAACCTGATATGGTTACTGTTTTTTCTTATCTAGATGTGTAGGATTGTGCATACTTGTCTCAAGTTTTTATTCAGGCCCTACTTACTTTTCATTCGAATATCATGTCAACACAATGTTACCATTACAGTGACAAGTAAGGCTTTGACACTTAAAACATCCTCACGTCAAACCTGTTATATGGTCCAAACTACGTACTTACTGTTTATCACGTGAAGGTCCAAACTTGTCATCAGGCTTATCACATATGTTAGAATCAATACTATATTTATTGATATATAATTAAATAAGAAGGCTTGTATTCAGTCTCATTATCTGAAATACTATTTCCATCTCTTAAAAAAGGCTTAATAAATGGCAATAGGAAAATTTCAAAGCTTTCCGACAGTGATTCAACATACATGGTTCTTAATAAATATTTATCAAGATTTTGATGATTCTGTTCTAACTGTATACTTCCATTCAACTCATCAATTGTTGCCATGTCTTTCCCATTCACAAATCACCATCAATTATAATCATAAATCATCTCTTACTAAGACATTGTATCAAAATATTCTAACTATTTACATTTCGTGATTTATTGCTTAAATTTGTGTTGCGGATTTGTGTAGTGTGTTGTATGTCGTATATTGTATTTGATCACATGAGTTTTTAGTCAACTAACTGGTAATGCAAGATACTCGACTGTTTTCCCATTGTTCTGATGGTCGAATTGTGAATGTATAAGAACTTTCGTCTAAATTAGAGTATTTGGGGGCCGAGTTGATGTAAAACATTAAATAGGAATAATATATATTTGTAAAATGTCAGCGAATGAATTTGAAGTAAATCCAACGTTTCGCCTGGCAATCTGGTCCAAGCTTTTTCAAGGAATTATTATTATTATTTCGGATTGTGAATGATTGAGAAATTCTGTGCGGTCAACTGACCTAACCGCTTATCGAATGTACAATAGTTCAGTTAAAGAATTATTGACTATTAGGTATAGAACGAGAAGCAAATCTTAGGACTTTGATCTTAAAATAATTCGTCAACTGATCATGTCAAACTAACTTCTTCAATGTATATTCAAGCTTGATGACGATACAATTATAAACAATATTGTTCACTTACATATTGTTCTAATTGTTTATTTATATAAATTGATGTAATATGATAATCATCATCGTACTTTGAACAAATAACCATCTTTTGTTTTAAACTGTCATTTCATTTCAATAAAACAAGGAAACAAAAATTCAATTAGAGAGGTCTTACAATCGGAATGTAAATTAAGGTAAATCTTTAAAAAGTAGTGAAAAATTTTTTTTTTCAAAAAAATCAAAACAAATCATTTTAGTCATTTCGAGACATTTTGATAAAGATATCTTAATTCATGTCACGTAAATACATTTTCTATTCCATAAATGAAATTTGAATAGGTAAAGTCATAATAATAATAATAATAATAATAATAATAATAATAATAAACAGTGGAATGGATGGACGAATAAAACACACTAATATTTAATCGGAACAAATGTGGGAATGTGTTTTCCATGATTATGCGTTTCAGCGTGTGTGTGTGTGTGGGAAGAAAAGAATAAAAGAAGAATGATAGAAGATAAATATAGAAACATATTAGGCATAGAGGGGGAAACCATATGTGTATATATATAAGCAACGCGTAAAATATATGAAAAAAAATTGTTACATTTTCTACCCCTGTGTTTTATATTAACAAACTGAGTGAATAACTGATTTACTGGTTGGATATCTGCACTTCTATGTGAATGTGAATAGAATGGAGAAAGAAAATAGCGGAATAACTTTGTGAAAGTAGAGCGAACTAGAGAAAAATAAATGAAGGTAAATTTTATTTTAAAAAAAAAGATAATGCAACACTAAAAGTACTTTATAAACAAAATAAATGAACCTGTGTACAAGCAAATAAACACAAAATTATCCGATGGTTGTCCTTTTTTTTTTCTTTAGAATTTTATTGGATTATTTAACTCAATAATTTTTTTTCTAAATCAAAAATTAAATTAAAGACGATTATACTAACTAATTTTAACCAAATCCTTTTTCATCATCACTAATATAATGCAATTAAATTAACGAATGACTTCCAATACAACTGAATTCTTTGTAGCGAAGGGGAAAAAATCATTTGACAGAAAAACAATGATGGTGGTGGTGGGGGTGGGGTGAAATGAAAATTAGAAAAATGGTAAATCATAGAATAAATAGACTGATAGCCTCTGTGGAGCGAATTTTTAAAATTATGTTCAGTGTAATTCATTCATTCATGAAATAAAAAAAATTATTTGACTTATTTATTTGCTAAGAAACTTTTTTTTTGTTTAAAGGAAAAGATAAATTTCACATGATTTTAAACGAAATTATGATACAGTAGAAATAAAAAGTGAATATTGAGAAATGTAGGCATAGATGTAGAGAGCGAAAGAAAATATGGAAAAGTGAAGTAAGGATAGTGAGAATTGATGAAGAGATAACAAAGAAATAGATAGTGTAAGGATGCATTGTTTCAAAATGTTTAGATAAAAGAGAATAAAACAGTCCTGCGCCTT